TTATGATAATTTTCTTAAATTTTATTGGCTAAAATTTGTACACGTGATAACTTTTAAAACTCAAATTTTGCCACCCCTCTTGACGGCTTTTGCTGTCGCCCACTGTAGGGGTGGGAACGGTTTAACCGGCGGTTTGGTTTACACATTTCAAACTGCGGTTAAACCCCAGTTCAAACTCCGATTTGAAACTGAGCTGGTTACACATTACATTTCAAACATATTTATTCATTTTATAAAATATAAAATATAAAATATTATTCACATCTTGATGCAACAAATTCTATATTATTGTTATTGTTAAGGGATTTAACTATTTGTAAAATTATAAATAAGGTCTTATTTCTTTTAACAAGATAATTAATTACATTTATAATCTAATATGGTTGCTAGTACTATGACTTAAGAAAAGAAAAGAAAGATGCCAGCTACTACTATTTACTATTATTATCATTATATACAAAGAAAAAATATTTTAATTGAATTGGATTTACCAATTTTATTCAAATTATTCATTTTATTAATTTTATTTGATTATTAGTTTTATTCAAATTACATATTAGTTTATTTAAAAATCTTACTAACTGATCCTGCAGTCCTAAATTTTGAATTGGACCTGACAATAAAATTTAACTATGTTTTTTTTTATTGTTTGTAAAAGAAAATTATAATATAATATTCCCATACATGATGGCGAAAGTCATTTGATAAAATTCAAAACTTTTGAAAAAATCACACAAGTTTTCAAAATTGAAATACCCTTGGTGAAATCAAAATCAAAATCAAAAATCAAAATCAAAATCAAAATCAAAATCAAAATCAAAATTCAAAAAATTGAAATAAAAGCACTTTTTATTAATTTTGAATTTTGATTTTTGATTTTGATTTTGATTTTTGATTTTGATTTTTGATTTTGATTTTTGATTTTCAAATTTTGATTTTTTCGAAACCTGTTAGGGTATATTCAAAAAGTTTGAACCCTAATCGTTGAAATTATTCTCGAAACAAAACTATTTCGCCATCATATATGATTAATCAAAAATGAAAAAAAGTTATTTATTAATTTCGAATTTCGAATTTTGATTACAAATTTTGATTTTGATTTTGATTTTGATTTTTGATTTTGATTTTTTCGAAACCTGTTAGGATATATTCGAAATTTTTGGACCCTAATCGTCGAAATTATTGTCGAAACAAAACTATTTTGCCATCATGTATGAATA